TATTGGTCACTGTCAATTATTTGTTGCTAAAGATGTTCATATTTGATTTGAGTAGCTAAGATCTAGCTGCAACTACAATATTTAATGTATGCCATAAACTTGAAAATGTTATTGAACTAAAAAGTTAGCAATTATAAGAAATGCTTTGTATGCCCTGTTTTTCAAAGACAAATAAAATGTATTCTCTGTCATAGCATCTGGTGGAAAAGTTGAATCTTAAATACATTGACTAAATCAATTAGCTTATCACTCTGATGCTTTGTATTAGCATAATTGGGCATCAAAGCTAGATTTATCAATCTCTATAGAAAACTATTTTCTTTAGCCAGTCACCTATCATTATCACACCCTGTAATTATGTCACAATTTATAAATGACTTTCATAAATTAAAGAATATGTAAACCCAACATTTCATGTTCCTGATTAGAGGTGGAATGGCCTGGAAAAAAATGGACAAATTGGGAAAAACCTTTTTTTTTTCTATTTTTTTTCAAAGCCGTTTTTGTTATTTTCCATAAAAATTAAAAAAAAAAGAAAGAAGTGTGGAATATGTTTATAATAATAAATCATATATCTATGACATGGTATTCAAATTGTATAACATTAAGACCGTAATGAAAGAGTTCTGAGACTTTATGTAAAGTCTTATATTATTGCAAGTTCTTTCAGCTGAAGACGAGCAAATCCTGGAATATAATTCAAATTGCATTGTACTTCTCAATGCAGTTTAGTTTGCTCATGGGCTCCATCTTGTACCTCCTACAGTTGGGTGATTGTCGGGGTACAGTAGATGATATTTTCTGTCCTCTCAAGCCTTCATTGACAGGTACGAGGGTAAATTTGTCAAATTAGTTTATTATTATAACCTTCAAAAGTATTCCTATTAATGTTCTCCACCATCACATCATAATGTTTACCTATAGTCTGCTCAGTAAATTGCTTTTTCTTTTCCTCCTCTCAGTAAAATGGTGAGACCAAAATCTAGAGTTTGGAAATGTTTCCACAGTGTAATTTCTGCTGAGAGCAAAGCTGCAATTTGCAAATATTGTGAGAAGAAATATTCTTTTCCAAATGCTACAAGAATGACAAAACATCCTTGCATGCCAGAGGTGTCCTAAAGACATTAGCCTATACAGTACTTTGGTACTTTATGAAATGAAATGAATGAAAGTGCAACTAGGTTTTTCCTCCAGAGTTCTCATTCCAGAAACACTCTCTATGCTGCATTTGAATCATCACAAACTGTTTCTTCACCAGCAGCATCTTCACGTAAGGAAGTGTTACAAACCACTGCCTCCCAAAAAATATATAATCCCTTCATTTATAGACAAAATGACACCTGAAAATCAGGAGAACATTGATCAAGCTCTTCATAGAGCAAAATATGCTTCTGGATCAGCAATGTCAATAACTGAAAATTCATAATGGCAGGAAGCTTTTAAATTATTATGAGGAAAAGGGGGTGGTTACCTGTTCTCCTGTATAGTTGAAATGTTCTTAATGTATACAGTCCTTGTTATTCCATTTGTATTAATAAATACAATTTAAAAAATGAAGTTTAGTTACTGAATAAGCTGTACTTTTACTTCAAGCATAATAATTTTATATACACTGCATTTCACCTTTCCAGTGTAACAAAATGACTTTCAGTTTGTAAAACTACTCCACGCTGAATTTTTTAAAATTTTTTCCAACATTTCCAACAGTTTTTCTGGGAAAAAAACAGGGGAAAAAAATTTTTTTTTCCCCATTGTTTCAAAATTTCTGAACATTTTACATCTCTTTCTGATATATGCCTGTAGTACAATGTACTGGTATGAAGATGTATCCTGTTCTCTTTGTATTGCTTCTTTTGTGTGAAATACCTGCTGTTCCTTCCATTCCCTCTGCTTTCCTAACTGGCCACACTAGGCACGAGAGCACAGCATGGTCAATGTTCTGGCTGTCTTGAGAGCTAATCCAGTAATCAAGCTTGTACTGACAAGCCCCCCCCCCCCCCCCCCCCCGCACAGCCAATTACTGGGAATATCATTGTAATGCTGTTTCTCCTTCCCTAGCTCTTATGCAGATAAGAATAAAGGGTGATCACTTATAAATAAGGGAAAAGGGTATTTATAATTTTTTTTATATGCATACACAAATGTTTTGCCTTTCATTTCTATTTTAAACTGAATGGGTTGTTTTACAAGGTGAGGGTGTACCTATACTTTTATACAGATGACATATACATTTGCCTATATTGTGACATATAAGCAAATCAACTATACTATATGCTGTGTTGACACTTTGGCCATGCGTTTTGTCACTGGCCAAGAGTAGACTGGCCAGAGTAAATAAAATAAAGTATAATTAATTTTAGAAAGATTTTTTTTTTAGTTTTCAATAAAGTGGTAAGAGTCAGATTTTATTAGGTTTCCTTTTGTATGTTGTCTCAGGACAACATGACAGATCCATGTAAAGCATTACTTTAGGCTAGACTCATACCTATGCAGTTTGCATTTGATCAGTTTCTGCATTTTTGCACATGCATTTTTGATGCATGTTTGCTGCGTTTTGTGGGTTTTTTCTTTATGCTAGGAAGGTTAAAATACAAAATGCATCAAAAACACAGCAAAAAAGCACTACGTGCTTTTTCTGCAGCTTTTTGAGTCTATAGAACCAAAAATGCAACTTTTTGCATTCAAAAAAGTCCCTGACCCTTTCCAAAAAACGCGGAGAAGTGAATGTAGGAAGTTATGTTAAATGGACTGTAGTGCATTTCTGCAAAATTCAAAACACTTAGAAAACGCTTAGGTGTGAACCTAGCCTTATGATTAACTATGCAGTGATACAACCATGAATGCAAAAAAAAATTACTCTGACAAGCTGATCTAATATCATTACTAAACATTAAAATTAAAGTTATCAAATACACTTTTTTGGTTGTGGAAATATATTAGAGTCACAATTATACAGTATTAACAAAAAAACATCAGAAAAAAAGGCCAATTTTCTTTTCGGCTATAGAAAAAGCAATTTTGTTAACAATGGACCCAATATTTGAATATATTGTAGCACCACATACTGTAGGTATATGACTCACTGATACAGGGTGTATGCATCGTCTACTTACACTTGGAATTTTATCTTCAGAGCATATCTTTTCAGCTAACAGTTTCTCCCGAATCTCCCAAGCAAAGATTGATGGGTTCTCCCACTTGAGCTGAGCAATCTTCATTACCACTTTGGGGGTTGCCAGTCTTGGCTTGCTCCCCCCTATCAACTTAGGCTCTACAAAACCGGTCTGGTAGTAGCGACCAAGAATTTTGCTTACACAGCCATTAGACACCTGCAACATAACAGAATATATATTTAGTAATTATGGTCTATATTGATTACAATGAAATGTACAATTGATACTTGTTCTCTTTTTTCTAATACCTTACTATTACCCAAACTTGGACACACACCCCAAAAATGTAATCCTTATTCTCTAGGCTTGTGTGGTATTCCTTGCTACTCCTCCTCCATAACTCTTTAGTGGCAAACTCCCAGCTGTAATTTTTCCACCAGAACTTGTTTAATATTGTTTAAGGGTTCATGTACACTGTAGCTGCTAAACTGACATTCATGAACTGTTGAGCGTTTTTTTTCAGCAGCCCCTGAACTCTCCCTAATGTTTTCTTATGTATCCATGTACCGTTTACAGGCAGTTGAGTTTACAGGCGTTTTTTTGAATGCGTCAAACTTGCGTTCAGGAGTAGATTTTACAGGCGTTTCATACGCCAAATGCGTGTAAATGCTTGTAAATACGGTTAACCGCGTTTATAAGCGTTTGCGTTTATAAGTGTTTTTTAACTGTTCCATGTCCATATGCTGACCAGAGCCTTTTTTCATCATCATAAATGCATGCAAAGCCGTTTTCATGTATTCAAATGGACCTGGCACACCAACGCAGTCAGTTCCAGGTTTTGCGTGAAGGAAAAAATGGTAGAACGTGCCGCATTATGCTCATGATGGAAATCCATAGTGAATACAACTAGAAAAGACAAGTAATCTCAACACATACTGCTCTTTCTGCTCTCTATTTCTCTCAAAATGTCTGAAAAAGTTAATTATTTACTATTTTCCAATGCATTCTGGGCATTTGGGAGGGTCTCCTGAGGTTATCTTTTAAAAACACTTCTGAACGCAACAGCACATAAACACACATAAACGCGCATAAACACGGTATGCAAACGCGGCTAAACTAATGTTTTTTAACCTACTTTTTCCAGCAGTCAGTTTCCATCATTCAGAAGAGTTTTCCAAATGCCCCGTGTACATTAGTCCTAATATCACAGATGCAGAACAGTGTCTGCAGTGACAAGAAGAATTACAATGTAGCAATGCTATTTTGTTACATAGTAAATACTCTGGTTTATTAATAAAGAATTAAAGGGGTAACGTTTGCTCTGCATAGGATGTCAATTAAAGCATCCTTACAAGTTTACAAAAACATTTATCTATTTAACCCCGTGGCGCCAACTGACTCCCGGCCCTTTAAGGGTTATAAAAGTCAGGAGGTAGAAGCAGGCCTTCGGGTCATGTGACTGCTGTCACAGCAGACACATGATTAGAAAGCTCCCGATCGCAAGTACGGATTGAGAGCTTACCAATCACTGCTGGCTACCATGCTGTGAGCATGCAGGGAGCATGCTGTTAGCACAATAAGTAGTTTTAACAGGGCTGCATACATGCAGCCGCTTGGCATTAAGGCCCACACTCCAAATGGCCACATGACGTATGCGTGCAGCCGGCATCAAAAGGTTCTGCTCCTTCTCCCCTTATCTATTATGTTGCTATTTATTTTTTTATAACCATTAACCACCTCCTTCCCACCATATAAGGTAATGACGGGCGCAAGGTGGTTCTCTTGTTCTGGGAGGATGTCATATGATGTCCTCCCACTCTAACTGCGTGTGCGTGGCTCCGGGAGTGTGCAGTGCGGCGATCGGCGGTGCGCTGTGTCTCTTGGACACAGCAGATCACCGATCAACGGAAAGAGCCAAATATGTCGGCTCAGTCATGTGATCAGCTGTATCCAATCACATGTAAATAGGGACATGCCGGTTATCGGCATTTCTCTCCTCACGAGCTATCACACTGACAGCTCAGGAGGAGAGGAGAGCCGGTAATCGGTATTCCTCAGAGAGGACATGTACACTGATCATGAGATGATCAGTGTGCCCTGATGATCAGTGTAGCCCCAGCAGTGCTACTTGTCAGTGTCCATCAATGTCAGCTGTCAGTGCCCATAAGTGCCTCATCAATGCTACATATCCGTGCCTACCAGTGCCAATCAGTGCCACCTATCAGTGCCAGTAAGTGCTGCGTATCAGTGCCAGTCAATGCCGCATATCAGTGCCGTCTAACAGTGCCGTCTAGTCAGTGCCACCTAACAGTGCCAGTCATTTCCGCCTATCAGTGCCATTCAGTGCCATATATGAGTGCTGCCTTTCAGTGCCCATCAGTGATGCCTGTCAATGCCCATCGGTGCCACCTACCAGTGCCTCCTCATCAGCGCCCTTCAGTGCCACCTATCAGTGCCCATCAGTACAGCCTGTCAGTGCCCATCACTGTAACCTCATTAGCGCACATCAGTGAAGGAGAAAAATCACTTATTTACAAAATTTAATAACAAAAACTAAGAAAAAAACTTTTTTTTTTCAAAATTTTCAGTTGTTTTTGGTTTGTTTAGCAAAAAATAAAAACCCAGAGTTGATTAAATACCACCAAAAGAAAGCTCTATCTGTCTAAATAAAAATGATAAAAATTTCATATGGGTATAGTGTTGCATGACCGCACAATTGTCATTCAAAGTGCGACAGCACTGAAAGCTGAAAACTGGCCTGCGCAGGAAGGGGGTATAAGTGCCCTGAAGGCAAGTGTTAATATTTAAATCTTTTTTTTTTTTTATTTTGTTTCTTAATTTTTTTAGTGACACATTTAAAAAAATGTACAAAATTGTACCATAGATTTGTATTGTAATAGAAATGTAATTTTAATGTTATTATAAACAGGCCAATCTTAAAATAAAATTTGTACTTTTTATCTAAAGTATCATTCGTTGTTTTAAAACAAGCATTGGTCAAATTAGAAAAAGGTGCCTTTTTTCGTACTATTTAACTTTTGTCTATAGAAACATAGAAAAAAATAGTTTTTTTCAGTATTGCCTAGAGAAAACCCTGTGTGTATAAAATAAGCTGCCTATATTCCTTACTTTGTTATAATAAATAATGACAAGATTATATTCGAATCAAAAGACCCTTAATGTAAAATTAAATACTGGTGCATAAGTGGTATACATGTATGTGAACTGAAGTGGTTAAAAGATAAGTTCACTTTTCCACAAAAAATAATAAATGCACAAATTGTTGCAGAAAAAAATGTGCATTTATTGTTTTTTTCCTGCAGGAGCCTGGAAAACATTACACCCATGGTCAATGGATCAAGGGTGCAATTTCAGACTTAAGCAGACAAGCCCTGCAGCTTTCAGTTCGTACCTCCATATGGACTGTCTGATTGAAGGCTGCAGGGCCTTCCCTCATCCATCAGCTGCGGTGGCTGACAGTAGTTGTAGTTCATACATTCACAGGAAATGAATAAAGTGGCCATGTGGGTGGATCCCCCTATGACTACGCTCTTTTTAAACTGTGAAAGTGGGTGCGGAGAGAAGATCCCTGCTGGCTGTCACACTGGGGGGTCGGGAGAGAACTGGCTGCTGGAGCTGGAACATGTTACATGGTTCACCCCAAATATGGGGTGGAACATGTAACATGTTCCCAAGGTGAACTTATCCTTTAATGTTAATAGTTGGTATAGATACAGGGGTTAGACAAAAAAAAAATGGAAACGCTACATGATTTGTAGGTGTGAAAGTGACAACATGTTTCACGTTGAAAGAGAACGTGATGTAACATTCTTTTGCTTCTGCTGTGTGATGAGACACCTAGCTAACAAGTGTGAAGCTTCACTTTCGTCATTCACTGAGTGAGCTGCTAGTAATACATAGTCATGTCAGAACTTACTTGAAGATTGAGATTGAGCTCTGCAGTCACTTTTGCAACCATTGTTTTCTTAATCCAGGTCACAATCCTGCGCTATGTCCTTTAGTCTCTTCTGTCAGTTGACATGTTTATCAGACAACATTTTCCCAGAAACTGTATATGCTGTCATACCCTTTGATACTGTACCGCATGACACAGCGAATAAATCGGTAACTTCAGTCACAGAGGCACCAGCTAAGTGGGCACCAACAATCTGTCCTCTTTGAAGCCCAGTAAGCTCTGACATGACTCCGTATTACTAGCAGTGCACACAGTGAATGATGAAAGTGAGCCTTCCCACTTCACACAGCAGAAGCATACGAATGTTACATCACTTCCGCTTCCAACATGGAACATGTTGTCACTTTCACACCTGCAAATCATGTAGTTTTTCCATTTTTTTGTCCGACCCCTTTATATTACTGCTATAAAAGAGCCTCTGTTGCTATATGTTTTAGTTAACCACTTCCCCGCCACCCTATAGCGGACATACTGCTACAGGGCAGCAGGGGTGCGCAAAATCATGTATATATGTGATTTTGCATTTCCGGGTAGGGGGCGCGTGTGAGCCGCCATTCACGGCTGCGGCTGTCAATCACTGGGTCCCGCCCGGTAATTACCTGCTGGCACCCGGTGATTGACGAACATCTTTGACGGGGAGGAAGACTGTCTTGTTTACTAACAGTCTTCTTCCCTGTCGGCTCGGGCACACTGCTCTGGTTGGCTGTGCACAGTCCCGCCATCGCCGCCATTACTAGTAGAAAAAAAAAAAACAGTATCTATACTGCCATTTGTAAGCGCTTTAACTTTCACGTAAACCAATTAATTTACATGTATTGGGTTTTTTTTTAGCAAAGACGTGCCACAGAATACATTTTGGCATAAATTTATGACAAAATTTGATTTCTAAAATTTTTTACTGGACATGTTCAATAGCAAAAAGTCAAAAATATAGTTTTTTTTCTCAAAATTGTCGGTATTTTTTTTTATAGCGCAAAAAATAATAAACGCATAGGTGATCAAATACCACCGAAAGAAAGCTCAATTAGTGGGAAAAAAGTACATAAATTTAATTTGAGTGCAGCGTTGCATGACCGCATAATTCTAAGTTAAAGTAACACAGCGCCGTAATGCAAAAAGTGTCCTGGTCAGGAAGGGGGGGGGGGGGGGGGGGGGGTAAATCCTCTGGAGGGTAAGTGGTTAAAAAAGTTGAATCACATTGGTGTTTGGCTGCATGGGCACCAGTAAGGGTTAGAATTTACTTCCTCCTTTTACAGGTAACAGCTGTGTTAACATGTTTTAGAAAAAAGTATCAATACCAACAGTTGTAAGCGTGCTTGCATAATTAAAGCATTTTTATTTTGTTCTGGATTGAGTAGAGAAGAGTCCAAACCCCTATCAGTTTATCGTTTGCTGTTGTGTACCATTGAGGAAATTTCACTTTGATTCCAGAACTAGTGTCCCCATTGGAAGACTTCACCTCTCCTGTTATTTTTTGGACAACCCTAAAATTTTGGCTTCCCCCTCACTTTCTGTTTGAAGTGATGAAGGTCATCAGGACAAAAAAGGTAGTAAATCTTACCAGTATCCACACAGACAGCAAATGGTCTAACACTTCACCACACAATCCAAAACGTTTTTTTAGGGCTACACTATAAGTTCTTTTACCTGTTCAGTAGAAAAGTTTAACGGAGTAAACATTAAAGCAAAAAACTGGACAAAGGAAATTTACCTGCAGCATCCTGGAAATATCGCAGGCCCGCACTCCATTTGCTGCAAGTTCTATAATCTTCTTCCTCTTACATGTGGGCAATGGGCGTCCATTGACAAATAATCCACCCAGCTGGTTCACACTGCTTGCACCTGGAAACAGAGGAATGTATTTGAGTTTGTCGGCAGACATACAGATTTGCTGCTGGCCCCAGAAGCCTTGGCCTAGGGTGGCATGCATGGTAGGGGTGGTGCTTAGGTGACCAGGGCACTTCACATTTATACCGGTATTTTGTGCATGGGCAAAGCACATGCTTACCTTTACTCCAGAAGAAAGTGATGTACTGTGAGAGTGCTGCTGGGCCAGTTAAAACTCTAAGTGCAAGTAAAAATGTGTGGCAGGTTGCGGGTTATGTGTTGCTAGAGGGAAATTTACTGCAGGAGGCTCTGGAGTTGTGTGTAGCCATATTAAGACACTATGGGTTCCAACCCGCTGTTATTGCCTGAGTTGTTCTCGCCACAGGACATTCCGGCTGTGGATAACCATCTTGCTGCCCTGCGTTCCTCGTGGGGGCAGATCCAGAGGTCTTTGAGGAACTCAGCTCAGCGCCAGAAGCTCCAGGCTGATCGTAGACGGTTGCCCGCTCCTTCATACCAGGTCGGAGATCGGGTGTGGTTGTCCACTCATAACCTTAATCTTGGGTGCCCGCACAGAAACTGGCTCCCCGTTTTGTTGGTCCTTTCCGCATCCTCCACAGGGTGAACCCGGTTGCCTATGCCCTTGCTCTTCCTCCTGGGATGCGTATCTCCAATGTCTTCCACGTATCCCTGTTGAAGCCTCTGGTCTGAAATCGCTTTACTGCCTCTCCGCCTCGGCCTCGTCCTATCCGGGTTTACGGTCATGAGGAGTATGAGGTGAGCCGCATCCTGGACTCTCAGTTGGTCCGCGGTCGGGTGCAGTTCCTGGTCCATTGGCGTGGTTATGGTCCCGAGGAGTGTTCCTGGGTTCCTTCCGCGGATGTTCATGCTCCTGCCCTCCTCTGCGCTTTTAACGCCCGCTTTCCACAGAAGCCTTATCTTGAGCCGTGGAGGGGGAGGGGCCCTTGAGGAGGAGGTACTGTCAAGGTCCTGCCTTTCCTCAGACCTTGTGCTGCTCCATGAGCTGGCATCCATCTTAGGTGTCTGCAAAGCATTGTGGGATCCTTTATGCTTTCAGCCTCCTGCGGCTCCTCCCCCAGGAGGTGGCGGCTTATCACATATAAGTCTGCTGTTTGTGGCTGTCTATTGCATTTGTGTCCTGTCTGTTGCACAACAGCAAGCTCCTGTTTAGCTACTCATTGCTTTCCTGGATACCGACTCGGCTTTGGCTAAGACTCCTCCTGGCTTCTGACCCCGACTCTGGCGACCATTCTTCCTGGCTCCTATGATCCCGGCTCTGGTGACGATTCTTCCTGGCTCCTGATCCCGACTCTGGCAACGATTCTTCCTGGCTCTTGACCCCGGATTTGGCTACGATTTCCGCTGTTGGACTTGCATAGACTCTTGTCTTATTTTTATATTAATAAACCTACCTTTAATTGCACCTCCTTGTGTGTCTGGCTCCTCGCTCCCTGACAACTTCTCTTACTATATATTCATTACAGTATATTTCTTCCTTGTTTACCCTGTTGCAATATATTTT